GGTGGACATTATAGCCATGTTGTACAATCTCAGCAGGCGCTGCGGCATGGTATTCTCTGTGGCATGGTATTACACCTGCTAGGGTTGGGCAGTACAACAGCACAGTGGGGGTGAGGACCAAATGGGAGACAGCAGGGGAAAGTTCTACAGTGATTCCCAGAACACCTGACCAGTTCCTCTGCTGTGTCAAAGGACAATCAGGAGGCAGGTTTAGACCACAGCAGAAGTCAACCAGCACACACAGAGCTTTGCAAGATCAATAGCTTCCATCTGTTGGAAGCCTCCTGCAGGCAACGCACACAGTATATTCCATAGGTCTCTGCTTGTGGAATCTTTATATAGCCCTCTAAATTAACTCTGCCTATTATCCTCACTGTGTACCTGAGTAAGGTGAGGCCCGGAGAGGCTTGTAAAAAGCAGTAACTAACAATTTGCTGATTGCTTACTATTAACAGGACACTGAGCTAAGTACTGCACATGCATTAACTTAGTTGATCCTTCCAATAACGCTATTTCACAGATGAGGAGACTCAGGTGAAGTAAACTGCATGTTTAGGAATAACAATAAATTAGAATTCATTTTACCAAAGACAAAACTGGGCCTGTGGCTCTGGAAATTGTTGAAAGGGAGGATGGTTCTCAGGAGTTTATATCCCTTGCTCAGAGCACATAAAGACAGATCCAGGATTTGAACCCCATAGCGCAAGCTTGGTCTCCTCCCCAATTGACGTATACCCTCCTCCTGTGAGCGCCTAAACTAACCCAGCTTGGGAGCCCGGTGAATGGAGTTGGGATTTGCCTGCGCTCACGGTAACCATAATGTCACAGCCTACTTCCCTACGCTGTTGCCATCCGACCCCATGGGCCGACAGGGGTTATCCTATTTGCGCACCCCAGGCAGCTCTATGCTGCACAGAGGCTGTTGGAGCCCATCCCTGTGGTACAACCAGGAGCCTGAATATGCATTCAGGATTCATCTCTTCTGAGTGTCTGGGAGCTGCACGGCCCCCACCACACAGGGCCCTGCTCCCAGTTGCTATGCCTTCCAAAATAAGTAATCAGTTCCTGGCTACTGGCTCCTCTTAAGAGCATCTAGTGGGCCGTGAGACGCAAGGCCTTGCCAGCCTTCTGTTTATAGTGTTTAGTTGTGCACTGAAGAGCTGTGTTGAGGGTAACAAGCTTTCTCATAGCTGCAGGCCCAGCTCACTCCAAGCCTGCCCTGGTCCTCCCCTAATAACACCTGTTCATCCATGGCTGTGTTCAGCTCTGGTTTACCGGTGACTCCTTTGCCTGGAGAGGTGGCCCACAGCAGTCTGTATGTCTGAAGGCTGTATGAGCTTCCTGCCTGGGAGAGGGGGAGGGTTGTCCCTGAGTTGCTGCAGGAGAGCCACCTCCACGGTGTGGGCATCTTCCTCCCCTCTGCTTCCTAGGAGCCTTCAAGAGCACCGCTGGTCCTGAAAAGCCCGCACCCTGTGAGGTTTGTCCCGGCCATGCGCCAATCGTCAGCACCAGCTTCTCTCTCACTGTGAAGAGAAAACACAGTTATATCTCATCATAAGTCCCAGCAAATTCAGGTCCGACAGGAGTCCATGAAATGCTCTTTGAGATACTTGCTGTCCTGATTTTGCATCTACCAGATAGGGACCCGAGACAACAAAGAACACCAAATTTCAAGTCTGGTAGAGCCTTATAGTAATGGTCTATTTGTCTACTAATGACAGCAAACACAGTGCTTTTCCTAATGCTTTATAAAGGCCATTTTACCTTTACAAGTGACCCTAAAAAGGGAGTGTTCTTCCCATCCAGGGGAAGCCAAGGTACCCACAAGCTAAGTGACTTGGCCAGATCATTGCACAGCCGGTAAGCGGCAGAGTTCCAGCATCCACCACCTGAACTACCGGGCCAGACTCCTCCTCTGCAGAGAAAGTTTCAAGTGGCTGAAGAGAAGCTGTGTGTCCTCGTCACCAGCTGTTCAGCCAAGCAGGATGCTCTCCTATCTCTGGGGGATGTCCAAGAAGTCTGGTTTTACAGAGCTACAGTTTGAATGAGAATTTTTTATTTAAGGAGTGAGTCCCTACTACGTGCCAGGTACTGTGCTAAGCACTTTGTCAGGCTTATTCCTCACAAAAGCTCTGACACAGCCACGGCTGGGATTCCTAGTGTGCACAGGAGGAAAACCAAATGTGAAAGTAGATCAGCAGGGATCCCGTGCTACAGCTGTTTAAAGTTGGTGCTCGTGTACCAAGATGATCGTGGGTACTATATTCATGTTAATTGCATCTTACCTTTTTCAAGATGGCAAGAAAATGGGCACTCTCTGTGGGTGCTCATTATTATTCCTTGATTCTCACTACAGGCCCAAATGATAAATAGCGATATCCTTATTTTTCAAATGAGGAAACTTGTATTATATAAACTTCCCAAAGGGAAGTTGGGAAGCAGCACAGTGAAAATTCAAATATGTCAGATTCCAAAGTTCAAGACCTTTTGACCACTTTACTCTAAGGACACACACGTGCTTGTCTTATCTCTGAGTCTCGCAGTCTATGGAATGAAATTGATAAAGGGGTCAGCCCTGAGAACGGGCAAGGTGATACTCTATAAATGGCCCCACAAGGATTCCAAATGTAGGCTTCTCTATCCCCAAACTCATTTCCCATCTTAGAGAACAGATACCCAAGTAATAAGGTAGGTTTTTTTCATACCCACTAAATTTGCTGACACAAGTTACCAGTCTCAGTCCCAGGCCCCCTGGACTTGCCATCCCCCACAGCCATGAAGGAAATGGAGACTGCACAAAGGACTCTCTGAACCTGCTTGTGAGCAATGCCATGCATCTCTAAGGACAGAGCAGAGATTCTGAAAGTCTGGTGGACTGGAGCGGGAAGCTCAGGAGGGCATGGGGAGAGAAGCCGGGACAGTCAGAGAGGCAGATGCGGGTAGCAAGGCAATCTGCAGAGAGTGTCATGTTGTAGGGGCTCCCACTCATCTTCCTAAAGCTTTACAGAAAAGCTGGTTCCACTTTAGACACATTTTTTGTTTGTTTGTTTGTTTTCTTTTTCTGGTACCAGGAGTCGAACTCACGACCTTGCTCTTGCCAGGCAGGCGCTGTGCCGCTGAGCTAAATCCCCAGCCCCCAAAGACATGTTTTGATTTCAGACTGGGAAAGTTCATAATTTTGTCTTAAGCATGGTTCTAAGGACCCGTCATCCACTTAGGGACTTCTTTCTAAAATCCATAGCAATATCTTTAAAAAATTAGTGTGAGATATAAAACCTAGTAAAATCCAACTCAGATCTATATTTGAATCAATGACATTGAACCATATCAAATTCCACAATGTTTTGTTCATGCCTGACGGTACATAAAACATTGTCATTGGGAGAGGATAGGGTGAAGGGTGTGACAATTTTTTAGGACTATTACCACTCTTGTGAGTAATTAACTATTTTAAAATGAAAATTTGTAAGTTAAAAGACAAAATATCTTTAAAAGCAACCTGATATGTAACTTCTCTGATAGTGATAATTCTGATAGTGAGAATAAACCTCCCATTTTACAATAGCTATCAAGAATCTCAGAATAAAATTTGAAATTCAGTCTAGAAATACCTTGGCCATATTGTCCTGTATATGGATGGTTTCTCCAAATGTTGACTTTCTACACTTACTGGTATTTCCTGTCTCCTGAATTTTCCTCCTTCTTGTTATTGTTTTATTGTTGTTTTTATAATTCTTATGAGAGACGTCAAGTCCTTTATGGAAAGAAACAGTCTATAAATACATTAACTAAGAAAATAATTAGCTAGTTTACAAGCTGTATGCATGTGCCTTTTAATCCTCTAGGAATTACTGTCCCCTCTACACAGGACTCTTCTCGAGAGTCACCTCAGGTCTCCTGTGCCTTGAGAGTCCTCAGCCCTGGAGAGGACGGCACCAGGCAGAAGGTTCTCAGCCAGTGAGCAGCATGACGGACACTGGCTAGCCTCAGTCCACCTGTTCTACCTATCTATAAATGCCTTTAAGTACTGCAAGTCTGGAGTCTCGAGATACACTTATTTCTATGTCCCATGGTAGGTATGACCCAGAAAGAAGTGCTGTGAAAACACATTTTAGGAAGGCACCCTGTGAAACCTCTCTGCCTAGGAGGTTGTTGTTACACTTCAGTCAGCATAGCAGACTCACTCAGGCTCTCTACAAACCTGAAGCAAAGCCAATGCCAAGCATCCTACCCACCCAAAAAAAAGAGGGAGGCAGAGAGGCTCAGAGGGCCGCTGGTGGGCAGCACCATGCACTGCCGCCCCAAGTATCCAGTCCCAGGTCAGCTGAACAGAAAGCGCTGGAAGGCACTGAAGGTTGAATATCCAGCTAAACCACTCTTCAGTGAGTCTTGCCTCCTTTCTGAGCCTCAGTTTCTTCATCTGGAAATGGGGTTAGGTAGCCCAACCCACAGATTTCTCATAGGGTGAACATGCAGTAATATGTACAAAGGGGTCTAATATGTTGTTGACACTACACGTTTAACCTTTGTCCCTTCTTCAGTAATAATAATAGGCTAACGTTTGTTGTGTGCCAGGTGGTGGGAATACACAAACAAATAAATTGCCGTCCTGCCTTTGAACTGATGATTAGTGTTCATAGATATTTAACACTGTGCATGATCCTACTCAAGCCTCACAGTAGCTTTATGATGTTGGTTTGTTTTCTTTTTATAGATGAGGACCGTTGTTTGCTGAGAGTAGTGCTGGTGTGCGGTGCCCCTCAACTGCAACAAGCAGGGTGTGGGGTGCACATGGCAAAGGAGCTCTAGAGATCTGAGGGGAAGGAGCTAGTGGATGGCACTCCTGTAGGGCATGCAGGGGTTTCTTTACATGGAATTTTTAAGAAGAGCTTCTGGATTGGAGCAATTGGAGCAGCCCCTCCGCCTGTGGGACAAGTTAGAGGGTGCTAAGTGCTTCTCGCAGCCCTCTCCTCACAGCTCCCTGGTTCTCTTCCCTGCAGGTGTCTTCAGCAGCAGCTGGAGGACAGCCTGCCCACTGCCAGCGTCATCCTCTGTTTCCATGACGAGGACTGGTCCACCCTCCTGAGGACAGTACACAGCATCCTTAACACAGCGCCCAGGGCCTTCCTGAAGGAAATTGTCCTTGTGGATGACCTCAGCCAGCAAGGTAGCTATGGGCGTCTTTCAGGCTCCCTAGGGTGGGCCTAGGCCCCTCCAGTTGTCAGACCTGTGCTAAAATGAGGGTTTGGAACCTATCTGAGGAAAGGTTCCCGGATGCAGACCTCCAAATGAGCACCATGTGCACGTAACTTATTAACAAAAGCATCCATGGGAAACCAGTAAGGCAGTGGGGGAAGCAAGGCAGAGAAAGGGAGGAAGCCATGCAAGAAGATGGCAGGAGGGTCCTGTGGAGAGTCTCTTCAGTCTAATCCTGCTGGGGCTCTCTCAGGCCCCAGCTTCCACACAGGCCAGTGAGTCTCTCCCAAGACACTGCCCAGCACAAGAGGGTGACCATTTTCTGAGTGTTCATTGCCTCCTGGACCCACGGCAAAGCACTTTACAATTTGTTGTTTAGAACAACCCACCTATTGTCCAGATGAGGAAAACAGCCCAGGGGAGAGAGGTGACCAGGGCTAGCCCTGAACCTAGAGTGTCGAATCTGCTTCCTCTGACAGGAACTCACTACAGGAACACCCCAAGGTGAAAGAGGAGACAGAGAACTCCACTGCCTGACCTGCAGGTCAATGGTTCTCAACCTTAGCTGCCTCAGAATCATATGGAGGTCTTGTTAAAACACTGATTCCTGGGCGAGTCCAGAGATTCTGGAGTCTGAGGTTGGGCCTAAGCTTTGCATTATTAACAAACACAGCTAGTGTTAGTGCTATGGGCCTATGGCCCACACTTTGAGAACCACTGCCCGATTTTTTGGCTTGGAACCCACGTCCTACATTTCTGGCTCAACTAAGTGACTTACAGAGGCCTCCTCTGGCTTTGTGGGAAAATGCAAATACTCACAGGGAAGCTGAGCATTTTCGAGCTCTACAAAGCACATTTCTAATGTGCACAACAAAGGATGGGCTAGGATAAGGAAAGACTTTCATTTGTTCTTTTTAAAGTTCTCCGGTTGGGAGTTTAATCAGCCTGGCCATGGCCAAAAGTCAGACTAGCGAAGGCTCTGGAAGTGCCTGGGGGTCCTGAGGCACACAAGGCTACATATTAGGCAGGATGGATAACAGTAACTGGGCTGGGCTGGGCTGGCTGTGATAAATGCCCAGAGATACAGCAAACCCTGCGGCTGATGCGCACCTGTGGTCCCTACCCGCCAGCGTCCCTCAGGAGTGCAGAAAGTAGAATAGCTTTACAGAAAGTGAGGTGCCTCCGATATCCTCAGGTCCCTCTGGTCCTGCCAGGGGATATCTGGATCCCAGGCCCAGCAGCTAAGCTGCTGCCTCCTGTCCAGCTCTCCTGTGCCCTTCACCCTTAGGCTAGCCCCACATTTCCTGCTGACATTAGGGTACAAGGCCTTTCCCACAGCTAGGGATGGCACTGGCTCTGTTTATCCCCAGGTTACTTCTCTCAGACCCAGAGCTCAGACAACAGTGTTCCCATCTACTCCTCCCAGGCACCCTGAGTGCAGAGCCCGCCAACCTCTTTGCACATGAGAGAACTTTGCACATGAGAGAAACTGAGATGCACAAAGCTGCCACAAGGTGCCTCGAGCCACCCCAAGCTGCTCCCGGCTGTGGTCCTCACAGTGTGGCGGTCATCTCAGTGAGCTTCAGGCTATTTGTCTTAGTAATAACTTCCACACTGGATTGTTGAATGAGAAAATGCATAAGATGCCCAGCCCGTGAGAGACTGACAAATGGAATTCATTACTATTGCTCCTCTCTGGGAGGAATGGATCTAGGATAATACCGGCTTCTTCTGACCACTCTACCCCAAGTCATGTGGTCTTACATGCTTCCAAGGTCAAGCCACCATTACAGTCTGGAAGTTCTTTCTTGATCTCTCCCGGAAGCCTGTAGGTTGGCAGTACTGGACTGGTACGGCAGCTCCACACAGCATCAGAGACCCAGATCCTCTGTTTTTCAACTAGCCATGTTTATCACATAGTTTTGACCTCATAATCACAGTGGGGCTGCTCGACCTCTGGGCATGGCATACAGACTCCTCCAGGAAAAGAATGAGAGCAGATAGGCAGAGGCCAGTTAAATTTGTTGTTGAGAGGAAAAATATCAGTTAAAACAAGAGTTTCCCAGAATCCTCTCATTTATTAGCTTTCTACCAGAGAATCTGCCAACAGAAAGAGAGTCTTGGGAGGTGGGTACTTTGAGCCACCCTGAACAGAATCAAAGTTCTGTCAGAGAAGTGGAAGGGAGAATATTTCTCCTTTGGAGAAGGTGATTAACTGTGTTCAATTCAGTAGACTCATATAGGGTGGTTCTCAGATGTGCAGATTCAGAAATTTTAATTGCTTGACTAATAGAGAGTCCTGTCTAGGGAGTGGACTGGGACTGACAACTTAGGTGGAAAAGTAATTACTGTAAAGTAGAAAAGCAGTACACTTTACCCCTGAGAGATGTGACAGCCAAGAGACTGGGGATCCATGTAGCCAAGAAAGTGCAGATCCCGCATCCACTGCTCTAGATATTGTTTCCCCCGTGGAAAGCCTGTGATGGTCAGAAGGAAGCTCTCAGGGAAGGAGGCCCAGGAATCTGGTGGGGGCTCCTGGGTGAGGCTGGCAGCCCTCTGCCCCAACCCCCGGCACCTGCCTAAACATCCAGCTCTCAAAGCAACCCAGCCACATGTGTTCACAGTCAAGACTGCCTTTGGGCTGGGACCCTGGGGAAAATCCTCACTCTTTGTGCTCAACACACATATACTGAGTGCTGGCTGCAGCCAGGCCCTGTACTTGGGGTTGGAGTAGCAGAAATACGTGAAGTACAATCCTCACCCTTGGGGAGATCTTGGTGGGCTGGGGCTCCCCATTTCTGAGGATCTGTGGAAGCCTGGACTTCTCTGTGGATGCATTATTCCTTCCATCCTACTGGCTTGTTCCTGTTGGCATGTGAGTGCCACGGCTGTGTACAAGGAGGAGCACACGTGTGCATGTACACACACACACACAGAGTTAGGTTTTTCCTATTTTGTGCACAGGACCTAACAAGTGTTTCTCATTCTTCCCATCACCGTCTTCAGATCCTTCATTGCCCTTTCCCCCGGAACCAGTCTTCCTAAAGCATTGTACAGACTCTTAGTCTCAGCTTTTCATCCTCCCCCTTCCTGCCTGCCAGCCTTTCCCTGCAGACTCAGCCTACCACTGCATGCGATCTCTTCAGCCAGTGCCTCATGGACTTTCCAGCTGCCAAATTTAATGCCCCCTCTGCCTTTAACTTCCTTGGCCACTGTTTTAGCTTGGGTTTCCCAGAAGCAGACCTTGACACAGGGATTCAGGAGCATACGATACTCTTAGGGGCTGAGCAAGCTCTAGCTTCTCCAAGTTCTCTGCACACAATCCCTCCTGAGTTCTAGCAGACAGTGTCATGACCTGTCTAAGCAAAGGAAGCATCTTACCTCTGCGCAACAACCATACTATAATAATGCACTTGGGTTTCTAGGACCCTCGTGCTCACCATGGGTTCTAATACAGTGATCCCAGTGACAGTCATCATAATTGCATTGGCTATGGCACCTGTGACCCCACTGACCAAAGCCCTGTCAATTCCAGGACAACTCAAGTCTGCTCTCAGCGAATATGTGGCCCAGCTGGAGGGTGTGAAGTTGCTCAGGAGCACTAAGAGGCTGGGTGCCATCGGGGCCCGGATGCTGGGTGCCACCAGGGCCACAGGGGATGTGCTGGTCTTCATGGACACCCACTGCGAGTGCCACCCCGGCTGGCTGGAGCCCCTCCTCAGCAGAATAGCTGGTGACAGGTAACTCTCCTCTCCCACGGTCAGCAGAGCAAGGGATGGGACTGGGAGAAATAGTTTGTAGGTTCAGCCACTCACACAGCAGAAGAGTCTCCACAGCTCAAAAAAGTGCCAGGATCTCCACCCTTAAGGTCTGATTTGCTACTTTGGGGTTTTCAGACGCCATGTAAGAAACCCAGGGAATTACAGTTGGAAGGGAAGTTATGAGTCTTCCTGTCCATCCATCTTTTCTATCATAGATGTAGAAATGGGGTCTGAAGAACTGTTTCTACAAAGTTACAAATATTTGAAATCCTATTAAGTTGCATCGAAGTGCAACCCTGTACCATGTCATCATTGCCCTTGGCTTTTGTCAGTAATTTTAATTAAGATCATAACAACATAGGGATGGGGGTTTTAAGCTAGCCTATGTCATAGATTTATTGATCCATCAAAAGGAAGCATTCGATTCCATGACCACTGATGTTTTACCTAAAACCAGCATTCTTTGCTTCTCTGGTGTTGTCTTAGTTACTTTTCTCTCATTGCTGAGACAAAATACCCAACACCCAAAATTAAGGAAGGAAAGATTATTCAGCTTACAGTTTGTGGAGGTTTCAGTCCATGCTTGGCTGGCTCTGAGGCAGAGTGGCACATGGCAGAGGGCAACCGTTCATGGAGGCAGAATAGCAAAGCTGCCAGAGCCAAAGGGAGGAATGGCGGCAAGCAGCTTTTTTCCCTCCCTTACACTGTAAATAGCCTATGCCCACCCAGGGGGCTTGTAGCACTCACATAATCTCCATGCCCTCCTCTTCCACAGGCTCAGGATGTATGCAAAGTAAGCACCCTGGTTCTCTGCTGAGTCATTTAGCCAAACCTCTAGACTCCACAACTTGACACAATGTATCAACCGTTAACAATCCATCCCTTGTCAACTTGGCAATCAGATACACTTCTTTAAACCAGTTTCCAGATACAAAGACATTATATTACATTAGAACCATAACAGGCGACTGTAGGAAATTTCTGATTTTCCACCTAAAGCCAGGCTGGAGAGGACTGTACTGTACATCTGTAGTTTAAATTTTTTTTTGACCATTTTTCTCCTTTTCCTGTTATGATGGTCATTTTCTTTCCTATTTCCTTGCTCAACCCACAAATTTCCCTGAACATGTACTGTCAACTATTACCTTCAGTCTGAATACCTCACTTCAGAAAGCCAAGACCTGGCGGCTGCCCACCTTAGCCCACCTCAGGCACAGCCCTTGTGACTCAGGTAGGCCTATCACAGAGTGGGACCTCAGTAAATGATGGATGTTGTCCAGCCAGGTGGGACTGATGCAAAAACACAGCCATACGACATCTGTCCTTGCACTTCTACCCATGGGTAAAGGTTTACTGCCTCTTTTGAACTTGGAAATGACCACACACATAAGAAAAAAATCATGAACTTCATTGGAAGGGATCTTGGAGATATGGAAGATAGATGCCACATGGAGGGGGATTTCAAATGACATATAGAAAATTGACAGTTTTCCAATGATTCTATTTTCAAGGACAGTCAGAATTCTAATTCTAGGTAAAACCAAGACACTGTTTTGAGCAGTTCTATGACAGATTACTCCCTACTCTTGGCTCACATCTCATAAGAAAAGAGCGTGTGCACAAATACAGCCGACGCAGGACAAGAAAATATTAAACTCTACAAGGGTGCCATATTTGTTTCTTTTTGCACCTGAAGTGAATGTGTATCACTGGAGGCAGACTCTACAGTGGTCTCACTCACCCGCCATTTCATTCCCATCCCGGAATCACAGATGGACGGCTCTCACAGAGACTGTGGAGGTAGTTTTATCTCATGATTTCACCCCCTCAGGGTCACTTGGCCACTGGCAGCTGAACCATCTTCTACGCTTCCTTCATATTTAGGAACCTGGCAATTAATGTTATTAAGTCTTATCTCTGAGTAGCCCTGGCAGATTTCTTTCAAATGCATTCTTCAGTGCCCCCAGCCCTGGCTCCGTGAGGTGGCTCAGGCAAGCTTCCCTGTCTCACAGGGAAGAAACTGAAGCTCAGAGTTGCAATGACACGCAAGGACACGTGGAGAATAACAGGTAGCAGAGTGGAGTTTTCTCTCTCGGTCCAATGCTCTTTTTACTGTGTTATGACCTCTTTTTAAAAATTGGGAAAGTTGGTCAGAAAGAAACACTCAGTCACCCGCACCTTCCACCCCAGAGGTGGGACATATGTGGAAGCACTGCAGGGAATGTCTCATGTCTGCTTCTCACTTTGGAACAGTTTCACAGATCTGAGGACTCCTTGCTCCGGGCAGAAGGAAAGTCAGTGTCCTTGGCCATAAATACATGCAGCTCCCTGAGAAGCCTTCAGGGATTGGGAGGAAATTCTGATGTCCCATGCCCTCCACCCTTTCCCGGAGCCTTCCTTCCCATTCTCTCTCCCTCTCACACCCTCCCTCCTTCCCTCTCTATCCCTTCCCCCCTTCACCCTCTGTCTGTCTGTCTGTCTGTCTGTTTCCTTCACAGACACACACATGTACACTGGGCCTTTGATCCTGATGCCTTCCTGGCTTGGCTTCCCCTTAGTGTCCTGTCTTTTCTGTGTGTTATGATGTCTTTTCATCCTCTGCACATTTTCTTCGTGGCTTCCTGTCCCATTCATTTCTTCCACCCCCCCCCCAATTTCCAGCTTGTAAGTCTGGGCAATGAGGACCTGAAAGAAAAGCTACCTGTCTAGAATCTGAGCTCTTTTTCATCTCTGTCCTCTCCATGTGGCAAAGCCCTGGGAGCTGCAACATGAGAGTGCGATGTCCCCTTTATGATTTGCCCTGCTTCGCTGGGGACTTGGCCAGATGGCTCTTCCAGATGTCCCAAGGCATCTCACCTCAGGGACCGCAAAGGCCTGTGAGCTATTGGTAGGGCTGCTCATACTGCCGCTCTCTGAGAGAGAAAAGGAGATCCACCTTCCTCAAAGGCTTATGTCAAGAGACATGCTGTCACCAGTTGAGGACCCAGTGCCAGAAAAAAAGGAAAAGTCTGAAAACTTTCCTTAAAAGGGTGGAGTGGAAATAGTGAAAGAACAGCGTAGCAAGCCACCAATCAGCTATTTCAGAGAACCATGTCTTCCTTTACACGCTGGTCAGAGAATTCAGGGCCTGCTTACTGGCTTGGTGCCCTGACCCTGCCTGCAATGCACGACAAGTCTGCCGCTGCCTATGTGGCAACATAGAATTTTTTGTTTGAATTTTTTGGGCCTCATAACCCTTTACTCCTAGTTGGTTTTAGGGCAGTCCTGGAAGATGCTATGGGGAGTTAAATAATGGAACACAGCCTGAGACTCCCCTGCGTGTGCATGTGTCTGTGTGAGTAGCAGAGTCTATTGTCTGTTAGTAAGTGCGCATACGTATGAGTGTGAGTACAGGCGTGCGTGTGTGTTAAGGAGTTCACTCCCTCAGAGGGAGCAGCTTCCTCTGGGCTTGGTGCCCCAAGGAAGTGCCCCAGGCCCCATCCTCCTTCACACCCCTCAAGGATAAGTTCTCTCATTTCTCCCCGGAAAAGTCCATACCAATCCTAGGGTCACAAAAACTGGGAAGAGAGAATTCAGGCCTTTTCTCACTTCAGCACAAGAACCAGGAATATTCACAAGCTTTTAAAGTGGTGTTTATACAGCAGACCTCAAGGAATGTCGAGGCCCAGGAAAAATAGAGACAAGATAAAGTAGGACTGTTCTTTATTGTGGTAAATTGTTCTGTTGGGGGAGTTGAAACCGCAGTCAGCTTCTGAATATCAGGATAGCGGTGTATTGGGTAACCTCTGTACTTCAGTTAATTAGTCTTTGTTGACAGCTGGACTGCCTCTGTACGTCTTTTGACTTCCAGGAACTTGGCAAGGCTTCCAGAGGATCCCCCTTGTACCTGACCGGGAGTTCAAACTCTGTTCACAAGTGGGAGGATGATGGAGTGAGCAGACACTGTCTGCTCCTTCCAAATCAAACAGGGTCCCTTTGCTGTTTGGCTTTAAGTGAATTCCAAGAACATCAGACACATTTGTAGGTACAAAAACAAAGCTAAATATAATACTGTGGGTTTTTAAATTTTGATTAACTACCCTTCTTGAGTCACTAGACTGCAGTTACTCACTAATTTAGCCCGGATTAAGCAGCCACTATGGCCCATGGGAATAAAACCGAAGCAAAAAATCTCTCCCTCACTCACTGACACTTTATTCTTCATTTCTATCCAAGATATGCTCAAGGAGGCTCGAGATTAACTAGTATATACCCACTCAAAATAGAGAAAGAAGGAAATTTCAGAAAGAAAAAGAGGTTTTTGGGTGTCAGAGCTAATAATTTATTAGAAGTGAACTTTATATATGACTCTCGTGTCCAGAAATATGAAGCATATATATATATATATATATATATATATATATATATATGATGAATTTTAGAGTTTTCATTTACTGATAAAAATGTCATGCATGCCTTTGTCAAACACAGGGGTGTAGGGAGGACAACTCATTGTGTGAATGCTCGAATGTGATTGATGAAGGTAGCATTTGATATAATTCTTTGGAATTCAGCCACGCAGTGTCCGTGTCTCTCTATTCTGAAATTCCACAACATGCTTTGTAAATAGTCAAATGGATTCCATTTCCCCAATTTTTTCCCCACTAAGTGGAGACTTAGGAGGGGGTCTTGGTGCCTTCTTTCTTCCTCATTCTTGCGTCAGTTTTCTTATGTCAACATGGGTGCTACAAAATAAAAGAGACCCAGAAGGTTTGAGTTCCCCTTGCCTTCTGGGAGAACAATGTATAAAGGGCAAGGAGAGGACATCAGGATTTTCTCTCTAAATGTAGATTTCAGGACTCCCCAAACCAGCATTCACTTAAACCCATAGGATAAAGCAGGCCACTGATTCCTGGCCCTCTCTATTTGGGTAGGCTTGCTTCAGCCCTGGCTATCTTCAAGATGGGGAGATCAGAGATGGAGACCAATGTGTGCATCGCTCCTTTCAGAAATCTCACTTCTCTAGGAGGAGCACTTTCAGCTACCCCTGAGTTGAGACTGGATCCATTCTGTAGCACAGAATTTAGGAGTTACTGCCGTAAGAGACTGATAAAAATGCGATTGAGACATTGGGCAGCGGAGGGCAAGTCCTGGGACACCTGAGTATGACTTGCTTCCTTGACAGGTAAAGTTCCAAAGCTGTACCAATTTTCTACTCACTCTTTCTGAGGTCATATTGCCAGGCTGTTCAAAAAAATTAGAATTAAATATAATCCCCAAAAGCAGGAGGAAATGAGCAAATAAACTTAGAGATAGAATTTGTTGTTGTTATTGTTTTGTTGTTTTCGACCTTGTGCTCATATACACATGCATTAACACCAGCTACACGTCTGGGCCTGACAATCCTGACTTCTCAAACCAATCATTTTATGATACAGGGAGGAACAAGAACCAGACCTTAGAGTAGGAATCCATAGGCCATACGACCTTGTGTATAATATTTTTGTACATCAGCATGTGAGAATTTCCTCAGGAGAGGTCCATAGTTTTACCTGATTCTCAAAGAGATCAAAGACCTCAAAGGAAATGAAAATGAAGCAAGAGGAGCACAAGTTCAAAGCCAGCCTGGGCTCCATAGTGAGACCTGTCTCGAAACTTAGATAGATAGATGATACATAGATAGATAGGTAGATAGGTAGGTAGATAGATAGATAGATAGATAGATAGATAGATAGATAGACAGCAAATAAACAAATGGAGAGTAAGAGCTGCAGTCCTAGAGCATTATAGTTGAAAAAGGCCTTTGTGGGTAGTAGTTCAGTCACCCACTTCACAAATGAACAAACTGAGGCCCAGAAAGGTATAATCGCTATCTAAAGGTCATGCAGCTCATTAGTGGCAGAGCTGAGGCTAGCACCCCATTTCTTTGCCCCTCATGCTTTCAAGAGGTGTTTAAAGAGAGAAAGGAGCAGATATATTCTTTAATGAAAAGGACCCCAGTTCCTTATGGAAAAATATAATTTCTAGGACAGTGGGATACAACAGAAGTATATCACAAACCACATGTGTAATTTAAAAGTTAATAGTCACATTACAAAATAAAAAGAAACAGATGCAATTAAATTTAAAATACATTTTAGTAAATCCAATATATCCAAAATATCATTTGAACATGTAACTAGTGTAAAAAATCATTGAGATTATTTTTTTACAGCCTTCATTTCACACCAAGTCTTCTAAGTTCAGTGTGCATTTTACATTTATACCACATCCTAATTCAAGCAAAGCATGTTTTAGGTGCCCGATAGGTATGAGTAACTGGTGGCCGCCATGATGAACGTCACATGTATAAATTTTATTTTCAGCCTCCAGCAATTGAATGGCTTGTTTCCTTTGATTTTTCACTTCTTCTCAGGAGCCGTGTAGTATCTCCAGTCATAGATATGATTGACTGGAAGACTTTCCAATATTATCCCGCCAAGGAGCTGCAACGTGGGGTATTGGACTGGAAGCTGGATTTCTACTGGGAACCTTTGCCAGAGCATGAAAGGAAGACACTCGTGTCCCCCATCAGCCCCATCAGGTGAGCCTGGGGAGCCAGCCTGCCCTGCCTGTGGCACCACACCTTCCTCACATGTTACTGAGTCTGTCTCAGTTCCCTCATCAGAGAACTGACAGTAATAATAGTGCCTGCTTTGTAGGCTTGTTGGGAAAACTGGAAGCACTGATCTATGAACACCACTTAGAGGGCTCCAGGCACTCAGGGCAAGGTGCTGTTATCTGTGTGAGGTCAATGAAATCAGTGAAGATTTTCCAGGTTCAGCGGGTGCCCCACTGTGGGAAAGAGGAAGAGGCAGAGCTAGCCCCTGACCCGGCTCCCTCTCTAGGCAACACTGGCAACTCTTTGGCCACAAGTTGTTCAGCTAAAAGGAGGAATTTAGCTGGGTGAATGCTAGAACACCACAAGTCTCAAAATATACCCAATCTTACTGGTCACTTCTCACACACTTTGATTTTGCATAGCTCTTTAAGTAGATGTTCTAGATATCGTCTGTGGAATAACAAACCATCTCAAATTTAGTGAAGAAAAATCAAACAGTTATTTTTATTAAATTCTCAGGTTCTATGGTTCATAGACCCTCAAAAGGCACAGCAAGGTTAATTGTCTCTGTCTCCAAAGTGTCTGGGGCACATGCAGGTTAAATATGTTCCCCAACCTTGTAAAGCTAATGAGAGGAAGATCCAAAGTTAAAACAAGGCCTACTGGGTCCTGAAACCACTTTCTTTGCTGCTATGCTATGCTGTATTGTAAATACAAGTCCACAGTCCACTCTCCATAATCACAAAATCCAAAGAGCTCTGAAAAACAAGCCCTTTTAAAATAATTCATTAGACAGAAGACACTGCCCTTGAACTGAGATGGCCATCTACATAGGCCTCGTTTACCTCACTTCCTGTGAATATTCATGTTTCATTGAATATAGTTTGACTAAAGAATGCTGCCCAGACCCCACTGGGACTGATACATAGTGAATGAGGTGTGCCCCTTTTAAAAATTCAGAAACTTCAGAATTAAAACAACATACTGGCTTCATGAGTTTCAGAGAAGGAATAGTGAACCTGCAACCCCCAAATTCAGTGAGCATTTAAAATAAGCCATGTACAATGCTGTGCACTTTCTATGAATTACTTCTAATCCCCACAAAACCAAGTATGAAATATTATTTTTTTTCCAACTGGAGATGAGGGAACTGAGCTCAGAGAATCAGCGAAGTTACACACCTCACCCAAGATCGTACGAGTGGTGAGTGGCAGAGGTGGCTAATACTAATCATTGTAATATGAATTTTGAATATTCTAGTATAACTTAGTATTTTTAATAACCTAAAGGCCTTATTAATGTAATACTATTTCACTGGTAATTTAAAACTTGGTACTCTGAGTCAGATCTTGACATATCTAGACTTTGGCTGCATTTGAATTTGTCTCTGAATGAAGGAACTGTACAGAAGACTTCTGGCTGCTTTTCTCTATAAAGCCCTGCTGCGGGATAGTGATTGTCATCCTAATTTCCTTATTCAGGGTTTCTAGTTTGTTTTGCTTATAAGTCACATGTATTTCCACCAGGGTGGGTGGAGACCTATCTAATTCTAGAGGTCCTGGTGGATTACTCTTAGACTTGGGGAGAGGGAGGATGATCACCCATTAAGAAAACAGAAGCGGATGAAGGAAGAGCGAAGAGGAAACATCTTGACTGTGTCCTTTTGCCTGGCCTAGAGCTACCTCCTTAGAGCATCTCATTTTAACCAAGACCCTTGCCCCAAACACCTCTCCAGGAAGACTGGAGGCAGCGGGTGTGGGAGCCCAGGGTATAGACCTTGGGTCCTCTCTACAGGAGCAATGCCTGAGCAGAGGGTTAAAAGGCCCAGACAACCTTAGTTCTCTTTTCATGAAATGCTTGGATTTCTGCTTTGCTCCAGCCTTGCAGTTAAAGATGTTGGGGTCCGTCCAAGCCTAGAGTCCATCTTCTCAACCCCTGGATCCCCCACCTATGAAGCCCCCAGCCCCTCACTGTGCTTGCGATGCTCCACATTCTGAACTGAAGCCTTTTGCCCATCTTCTCTGTCCAGGAGCCCAGTAGTGCCTGGAGAGGTAGTGGCCATGGACAGACATTACTTCCAAAACACTGGAGCTTATGACCCTCTCATGTCACTGCGGGGTGGCGAAAACCTCGAACTATCCTTCAAGGTATGTCCTGAACCGAGGAAGGACACAGGTAGGATCTCTGCAATACAGTGTGTGGTTGTAGCTTGAAAGCAGCCATCAGAAACACCATGGGTAGGGACTGAGGTTGTCAGTAAATCGTAAAGTCATTGTAGCGAGGGGGGTCACACATCCCATCAGCCCCCCATTCCCAGCTCTCTTGGGCTGCACCTTGATTTTACTCCTTTTGCCTCATGAATTTTACTTTCAAAATGTGCTGCTAGGCAGGGTGTGCCGGTGCACGTCTCGCATCCCAGCACTTGGGAGGCTAAAATAGGACTATAAGTTCAAGGCCAGCTTGGGCTATGTAGTGAGTTCAAGGCCAGCCTGAGCTACATACTAAGGTGCTGTCTCAAAGAAAGGAAGGAAGGAGAAAGGAGGGGAGGGAAGTAAGGAAGGGAAAGAAAGGTAAACCTGCCAGCAGACGAAGGCACACTTTCAGTCATTTACACCTCAGAGCAGAGATTCCACAGCTTCTCCATTCCAAGCATCTCAGCAGTTTTTTAACATCCACAGGCCAAACAAACACCACACTATTCTGCGTATTGAAAATGCAGCCCAAACGACTTAGGAAGTATCTATCCTAACAACTTAGCACATGCAGAGCATTTTTCTCCTTCAAAACCTTGGAATCAGATAGGACACCCTCCCTCCACCCCTACCTTCTGTTCCAGGTTGATTTGAGCACGATGATTTGTTTTTCATCCCAGCAACCTCCAAAACCCTAACCCAGCAAAGACATCCGTCATCAAAAGTGCAGAGCGCTAGCTAATCCTGAAGTTCGAATTACATCAGGATTGTGGTTTGCACATCGTCCAACAGATGTCACTGTTTCACTCAAAAAAAGTGAAAAATATGCCTGGTGCTCTTGGAGTTCTCTGAAGTGCCCTGGGGCACCTTGGCCAGAGTTTGAGAACTCTTGCCTTGGGATCCTTCAGTTCATAGGCTGCCCTTCTGAGCACTGTTAAGTGTGGACCAAAAAGCGTCTGGCCAAATGGACACTGGGCATTGTTGAGAGGAAAGGATCACTGGGAGCAGGGAGGACCTTCTTGAAGTCATGAAGGCTCTGTAAGGAAGGCTCGAGTTCATCTCCACCACACACAGCTCAGGGGCCTACACAGTGTGAGGCCTCACAAGCTTTCACCAAGTTCCTGACCACCAGAGGAACCTTTGAAAGCACCTTCCAGAGAGTAGGGACACTGATCCCCTATGGCTGGTTCATTTCTCTAAGTGCTGGGTCTGCGCATGAGTTTTACAGGTGGCACACTTAGGTAGATCCATGGGTGGGCCTATCACCCTCATTTCCATCCTGGCACAAATGCCCCATTCTTCCCACCTTGCCATTCCCCTGCCCTAACTCCCAGATCTAAAATCTACCCTAAGGATTTTAACGACTGTGGCCATTTTGTGCTAATGATTTCCTGTGCCCGCCTTCTTGGACAGGGTCTTTTCCTTATGATTGTTCTGGGAAGCAGAGGTAGAATTTACCTTCTCTCTTCATGGCAGGCCTGGCTGTGTGGTGGCTCCATTGAAATCCTTCCCTGCTCACGGGTGGGGCATGTCTACCAAAATCAGGCTGCACATTCTCCCCTTGACCAGGAGGCCACTCTGAGGAACAAGGTCCGCATTGCTGAGACATGGCTGGGGCCATTCAAAGAAATTTTCTACAGGCACAGCCCAGAGGCCTTCACCTTGAACAAGGTAAGGAGAGAGCCGGGTGGGGATTTCTGTGCCCAATGTTGGGGTCGTCAGCTGGAAACTGGGTCAGGCAGGGCCTCCTTCCTACCTGGAAGAAAAAATTGAGCTTCCGTGAGTTGTCCCCTCTCAAGTGGCTGCTCAGCATTGAAACATCACAACTGACCTTGGCCTAGAGCTCCCTAGTGTCTAAAGGATGAAAACTATGTGGTGGAACCCTTACCACGGGTCCAAAGGAGAGACAGGACACGGATAAGCAGTGGGACAGGTCTCCAAGGGCTCCTTCTTCCTGATCAAAGTGCTCAAGGCTATAAGGTTACCTCAGACACAAAATAAATACAAATGTAAAATAAACACAGAGGCTAAAAAAAGCCACAGAAAAATTAAACTTCTAAATTTGTAATTAAATAATCACAAAATGCATCATTAATTCATCAGCTCTTATGGAAAGACACATAAGTGATATATTTGCTGGGTTAGAAATGGAGGCTCGAAAAATAAGATTCCCAGGACCCACAGTGGTCCCAGGACAGCTGCTGCAAGCCCCTTGCCAGCCAGTGCTGCTGGGGATGAGCTGGATGTGAGGTCATACATCATGGATGAAGGCTGGGCCTATCAAAGGAGTGACATGCTATACCCCGCCGCAACAGGCCTTTCCCTGGGTGCAGGGAAGTCTGACAGGGGCCCTGTATTCCTCCTAGGTCCTCAGAATTTGCTCCCTCCCACCTAGATCCACTTCCTTCCCTTTAGCAGAACCACCTCCACGACCTGAAGAATTTGGGTTCCTTAAACTTTGAGGTTGTTTCTTTAACTGGAGAAAAGTATTCATTATACACAGCTTCAATTCACTCCTAAGGTCTAGACAGGCTAAAGACCTTTTTGTGTCCCCAGAAGATAAAATTATATGGGTTTCAATAATGGTTTTTTAGCTGTATGATCCTGAAGTTACTTAATCACTCAGTACTTCTACTACCTCACTTACTGACCATTCTTGATGTTGTTCGGGTGATTTAGTAAAATAAATATCCAAAGCACTTTAAAAAGTGCAGGGTGCTAGGTAAACCCTGTCTGGCTGCTTCCTGCTAATAGTCCACAAAGGTCAACTAAGCATCTGTCCTGGGTCAGGCCCTGGGTGGGTCCTGCAGGCGATGCCTAACCATGCCGAATGTCATCGTGCTCCTGGTGGGGCAGGAGCTCCCTGAAGGGGAAATAATGTCCACAACGATGAGAGTGATATACCCTAGACAGGCCATGGAGGGACACCTTCTCAGGGGAAGTGGTGGCTGAACTATGGCTGGACAGGTTCAACTCAAACATCCCAGGAGGAGTTAAGGGAAGAGTCTGTCCTCTCAAGATCAAGCAAAAGAGTTTCGCCCCACTTGGCGAGGTCAGCTCCCATTTGGCAGCAGAAAGTGTGTGACATTCTACCAAGTTCTACAGAGGTCCACAGAGCTACTCTGGCTTTTTGTTTCTTTCCTCTTTTGGCCAAAGCATCTCTTTTCTCTCTTGGAATGTCAATTCCGTGTTTGCTTTCAGGGAACACTTGCTTAATGTTTGTACAGACATCATTTCTAAAGAACTCTTACTTACAGAAGTGTTAAATATAGCAGAGCTTCTGGTGAACTGAGCTAACCTTCTGCTAAAGAGGCTCACTAGAACATGGTATGCTGGCTCAAGCCAGCCTAATTCAACAACATGTAAATTATTCACAGACTTGCAACCTTCTCCACACAAAGGTCATTTGTGCAGTTCAAAGTGTCTATGGATATGTACTTGGTTCCAGGCAATTTCAGAAATTGGGAACTGGCATAATGCTCACTGTTTAAGAGCCTGACCAGACTGATTTTGAGAAAATTCTATGTGCTTATCTAGTTGGTGATAAGGGGACGTTAAAGGTACTTGTTTGTTTTCAGCCAAGCTTTTCATTCTATAAAATAAAAAACTGACGCCCCATAAGATGGGGCCAAAGAAAAGTTGTGGGAGAGGCAGAAATAGGCCTAAAAGTGGAACTAGCTCAACTAGTGTATATTCTGCTTCCCAGCTTCCTAAAGCCTGGAAACACAAATCCTCAAGTTTCACATCACTCTTTTCTGGGAATAGCCAGTAAAACATCTCTTTGTGATCCTGACTCTGTGGGAGGCAGCAATGTGTTTTTGGCATATAGATGGTTCTCAATAAATGTGTCAGAGATTTACAAGCTAAGCAAAGGTAGGGACAATTGGTATTTCGCTTACTGTTAAAATCTTCAATGTTTGGTTCAATCCCGGGTACATAGGAGATACTTCATAAATATCTGTTGATGGAACAAGTGGATGGTGAAAAAAATATTAAACTAAAGCTAAGCTTTGTTTCTCACCACTGGTAGCTAGTGACTCTGAGAAAGTAGTTTAGGATACAATTAAATGAAATGTGAAATGGTGCTTTGGCAAATATAAAGTATCAGTTAGATACTAGGCCTAAGAGGGCTTAGGAGCATGGCATCTTTACTAGTCAGTGGGGAGATATTTATTCTCTCTCTCTCTCTCTTTCTCTCTGTCTCTCTCTCTCTGTCTCTCTGTCTCTCTGTCTGTGTCTCTTTCTCTCTCTCTCTCTCTCTCTCTCTCTCACACACACACACACACACACTTCACAGTTTGGAAGTGTCTTATCACTTAGTTTGATTTCAAGATTTTAATGATATCCCTGCTTCTTTGAAGGTGTTAGCTAGCATGCATTACTTTAAATTTAACTACCTAAAAATTGGCTTTGATCTAAAGATTTCTAACCTTTCCAAGCTCTCAAATAGATTTTGAGATGCACAAATCCTGGGGAACACAAACAAGTACCTTTAACATCCCCTAATCACCAACTAGATGAGCAAATAGAATTTTCTCAAAAGCGGGCTGGTCAGGCTCTAAAACAGCGAGCATTATACCAGTTCCCAATTTCTGGAATTGCCTGGAAGCAAGTACATATCCGCAGGCACTTCGAACTGCACAAACACAAACACCAAGACGAGGCTGGGTTTCACACTGGGGGACTGCACCTCGCTCCCAAGCGTAGTTGTGCAGATAGGGAAGAAGTTCAGAGTTGTTTCAGGTCACAGAGAGCTGGGTAGATTTTCGGTTTGTCTCATCACTCTCACCAAGAAAGGTGAAGGTGAAAAAAAATAAGTTGAAGGTGATAGAATTCACATGAGGGAATGTTCCTGCCTTGGTAACAAAGTCCAGCGCTGAGGAGGGGTTGGCAAGATGGCAAATAAACACTAACACTGCCCAAAACCAGCAAAAAAACAAAACAAAAACTTCATGCCAAGTTCCTCAGAGGAAAAAGTAATAGATCTCTTTAGGTTAGTGGTGCATAAATATGCTAAATAAAGAAGAAATTCTGGACTTAAAGAAATTATCTGTCTTCTCCCTGAAGTATCTGTGGAGAAGACTAGGAATGGTTAAAATGCAGATTGTAGGGTCATCAGCCCAAGCGTCTGAGTCACAGTCTCTGGGGCAGGGCCCAGGCAGGTGCTCAAGGAGGCGCTCTTGGAGAAACATGGCAAGGGAATGTCAGCATAAAACACTCCAACCTTGCTCTTCCCAACGTCTCCATGTGAGGACTAAGAGAAGGGAAAGGCGGGATCCCTTCGCCTCACGTAGGCCATTGAGCCAGCGTCTTTTTGCCAGGTAAAGAAAGGCCATCAAGATGGACTCTGACATGGACCTATCTCTTCTTCTTGTGGGAAAGACATGGGGGTGGGGGCTTTGGTCATTTCAACCCCTTCTTGGAACCTCTCCTTTCCTCCCTTCAAGTCCTCCTAATATCCAGGACTTGAAACTAAACTTTTGTGTAGTATTCTTTGTATCCTGGCAATAGAGGCAAAACAATAATTTTTACTAATGTTAGCGAATTGCCTTGATGTCCATCTGAATACAATTATATTATATAGTAAAATTTCAAAGTGAGGGGATTCTGTAGCCAAACAAATGATTCATTAGCAGGGGAAATTTGGCACTGGAGAAAAAGAAAGATAAACTTGCCTCACTTGGTCCCTATCCCACTATTTCACAAGTCACTTCATCTCAGTTGCTTCTAGGCCAACTCCTGTCTCCACGAGGCCATCTAGATTCTGCAGCACAAGGGAGGTGGTGGTGCACACCTATAATTCAAGCACTCTGGGAAGCTGAGGCAACAGGATCCTAAGTTTGAGCCTGGGCAACTTAGCAAGGCCGTTTTTAAAAAAAAGTGAAAGAGGGTATATAACTCAGTCTGAAGGCCTTGGGTTCAATCACCAGCACTAAAAATAAAATTTTAAATTTAAAAATGAAGTTCTACACCACACAAACTCAGGTGCAAAGCCCTATCATTTCCTCAGCTTCCACAGAAGTCTTGAAAGCATACACATCCTGGTCATTGTAAATAAGATCTAGGAGTCTTTGGGAGGAGGTGATATCACAGCTGTGCTAGTGCCATAGTTTTCTCTAAGGAAGACCTGTCCTCTTCTGTCTCTTCCAAACCTCTTCATCCAACTCATGACCCTCCCCGATGTCTGCAAGCCCTGGGAACTGTGATCGTGGATACCTTACTCTCCTGATCCTTTAGTTCTTCCTAGCCACCTTGGCATTCCACTACTACATGGATTTTGGGGTAAAACAAGCCTCCATCCTCTCACTGCTGACGTCCTTCTCCTCCTCCAGGAGGAGAAGCCAGACTGCACAGAACGCTTGCAGCTGCAAAGAAGACTAGGTTGTCGGACCTTCCACTGGTTTCTGGCCAACATCTATCCCAAGCTGTACCCAGCTGAACACAGACCTAGATTCTCCGGAAAGGCAAGGCATGACTCAGGGATGACTGGGAGGAAGGGTGGGAGAGGGAAGCCTCCCCAGACAAGAACTATACATTCAAATGCTCTTCCCTTACCCTGGCCAACCAGTCATGAGCTCAGAAGGGCCTCCGAGGCCTTTAGCCCATGCCCTATCTCCGTGCTGGCCTGAAGAAGGTGACTAGGTTACCCTATCCCAGAGTTCCTCAGCAAGGCAAGCTGGCTTGTTTCCTTCAGAAGGTTTGTCCCTTAAATCACTGGCTTCAGCTTTACACCACCCATCATGACCCAAACAGTGCACCTTGGGCTACACTCCAGGGAGAAGAGAAAAATGGTGCCTGACCTAGGGTGCCTTTTCAATGGAGTTCGTGAACACTGGGATTCACTTCTGTGTGCATGTCTACTTGCAGCTCCACAACTCTGGGCTTGGCTTCTGTGCAGACTGCCAAGCAGAAGGGGACATCCTGGGTTGTCCCATGATGCTAGCTCCTTGCAATGACAGTAGGAAGCAACAGGTAGGTGGTCATACTTCTTGGCATGGATAATAGCCTAAAAAAGCTTTGCAAGTGGGTGCCATTTTTCTGCATTATACTCCATTTCTTTTTGCTGTATCTCCTTTCTGTGGTTCCATGTCTCCTAAATGCCCGTAGTTCCCCACCACAATAATTTGTCATAGCTCTGCCATCTCACCCCAAGTTAGGTAGACCTGAACCAAAGAATGGAGCACTTAGAGAGAAATGGGAATGCTGTTTAGTCAACCTTTCATTTGGCAGATGAAACTGAGGCACAGAAGCACTAGTTTAGCTATTACCAATTGATGCCTCTAGGGCTGAGGTAATGTGCAAGGGTCTGAGGAGCAAAGAAGAAGGTAATTGAATTGTGGGGAAGGATCTAGATGCAGCAGGGTCTTTCTAGTATCCAAGTAGGCCCCTTGGTCATTAGGAAGGTCTCCCTGTATCTTTGGATATTTCTTGTGCTCTTCAAAATTTCCATCATGGGTATAATTGCCTGAGGTGGTAGAAAGCCTCCTTTGATGCTAGCTGAGGATGGAGCTGAAGAAGTGGTGGATCCACTTCTTTTCACAATTCCGTTGAAAATTTAGAAAGTGCAACCTGTCCCCAAATATCTATGCTTTCAGGCTGTAGTAGGGGCCTCCAAGTTAAGTTTTCATATATCCAAAGACCCTAATGAAAAAAACAATCTCTAGAAGTTTTCACTGGAGGAAGCAGGTGAGGTCTAGAGAACCTGGGGCAAAGGAGGGACCATCTCCTGGAAGGTCTGGTGTAGAGGACTGATCAGGCCCGCAAACTCCTGAATGAGTAGACGGTGAAGGCTTTACTGTCAGCAAAAGGTTGGTTTCTGTGTGGGGTGACAGGACCCAAGGATGAGGTGCAGCAGATGAAAAGGAAAATGAGAGAGACAAAGTTATGGGATCAAGGGGCTACAGCCTGTAGGACTGAAGCTTCAATTACAATTTTCTCTAGCCTTTTATTGGGATTCTCACAAAGCAGGAATGGGGAAATGGGAGGAATCATTAACAGAATGAGTGAGGGTGATACAGCTTAATTACCACAGGGACTGAACTTTGACTTAGCCAGCCATCATGGCATCATTCCTTCGGACATAACTCAGCAAAGCATATAGTGTTGTCCCAGCAGCTTTCTAAAGGGACTAAGGTCCTGCTTTCATTTCCTTTTTTTTTTTCTTTCTGGTACTAGGAATTGAACTCACGACCTCACACTTGCCGGGCAAATGCTGTGTAAGTGCTGTGCCGCTGAGCTAAATCCAGCCCTTTTCATTTCCTTTTACACTAATGCTTTTGCTAGACTTCCTCCAGAAGCAATCATATGGCTTGGTCAGGCTAGAAGTGCCATACAGGTAATACATTGAAAGGTAAACTATAAGGCTGGGGATTTAGCTCAGCGGCACAGCACCTGCCTGGCAAGCGCGAGGTCGTGAGTTTGATTCCCAGTACTGGAAAACCACCCGCCTCCAAAGAAAAAGAAAGGTAAACTACAGAATATTCTTCTCCACAGCTTAACTAAAGGAGACAAGTAGTATGGTTTTAGGGCTCCAGGAGGATCAAAACCCTCTAACAGAATTTGAGATTCTCTAGGCACTGAGAAAAAAACTTCTCTGGGTGGCCAGTATTTATTTGGTTTTCAAACAAAGGAAGGGGTTACAGTGGAAAGCGTAGGAAACTGAGCAGGACCTTCGGAGTCAGTTTAAGGACTTCTCTAAGTAATACATTATGTTAATTTCGGAGAACTATGTTATCTCCAGGTTGACCTTCACTGCACGAGTGAGATGCCTGCAGCTACAGTCTTTATCTAGTTAATTGGGATTGGAGTCAGGCATGCTCAGATGTTGCCTTGTTTTGTCCTTTAAGGTGTTATGGCTTCACAGGCCTCAGCCTGGACCAGCGACTCACAGAGGTTCACTTACTATGAGTCCACTGCCCACCTCTACATAAGGGGCCTAGGCCATGGACAATCTCACAAGTAAATATAGAAAGCCAATTGGTTAATTTTAAGTCCTGCTTAGAGCTGCTTCATAGTGGTCTCCATCAGTCTGCGGTCCAGGCCTTAGAGTAGGCTGGTCAAGGCTAGGCTTTGCTATGTATGGAAGGAGAGGCTCTTCGGACTCTGCCCTTTGCCAATCTCCTTGAATATTCCTATAGGGATTCAGATCAGACAAAGGGACAAGGACATAAATACAAAGTGCACTAATTGAGCAAGTGTGAAAATGTGAATGTTGTACAGTCACACCTGGCGAAGTTTCAATCCAAGTTCCCCCACTTGCTAGCTGTAAGATTCCCCCACTTGCTAGCAGGCTTCTTAACTGCTGTAAATCTCAATTTCTTCATCTGCAAGTAGGGATGGTACAGCCTCTATCATGAAAACACAATTACTTTTTTTTTTTTTTTTTTGAGGAAATTAGTGATCCAGCCAAAATACAGACCAGAGAAACTGAAAACCCTTCCCTAAAAACACTTGATATGATATGCTGGGAAAAGAATATGAAATGACCTTTTGCATGCTTAAGTAATTGAGTTTCCATGAAAGAAAGTAAAATCTCTAGGGATCAAAAGCCAAGAGACAACCAAAACCAGAGTCATAGGGCGTGAGCTAGGCTGGCCTGCCAGGTGGAGGAGAGGGTTGCCATCACCCTCAGGAATCCATATTGGCTCCATGCAGGGATAAGCAGAGAGCCTACCTTCTGCGGAAGCCAGAAATGAGACTCCTATATAAAGCCAGCTTTGACCTTCAAGGAGAAACCTGTTCTTGACACTTTTAGCTAGAAATATCTACCTACTGCCACAGGGAAATGGCAGAGAAGCCTATCTGTATAGGGGTTAGGTGGGAAAAAAATTACTGTCCCCTGAAAACTGTCCACAAGCTTGTGTTCAACATGTGTCTAGGGTTAAAATTTATACTAATTGTGTAGTTTGGGAATCCTTGACTAGGGTAGGCTGCTTAATTTGCAGACTCCAGTGCAAAACAAAAATGTGCCATCTCTAATTGGATAATTATTAATAATTTTAAGGCAGTGACAGCAGAGCATTAAATCAAGTTTATTGAAACCAAAGCATTAAACCTGTCTAAGCATCAGGTCCCATAGGGCTGCACAGGTTGCATGTCCATGAAACCAATCTTGTCTCTAAGCCACAACATTAACATCAAAGTCAGTTCAGGCTCCATCTGACAGGAACAAACAGCACATGGCTTTGCAGGACATCGCTTCCAATTAGTCTGCACAGGCTTCTCAGTTAAAATCCCTCGCAAACCCAATACTGCAAAACCGTAAAGACATAATAACCATGAGCAGGAGTCAGCAGATAACCAGTGGCAGCAGGAAAATAAGTTTCAGAGCAGGTAAGATCTTCCCAGAAAAAATCAACTTGAGCCTCAGAGAGGTTCCTCTGCCCTTCCAACAGGGTACTCACAAAACACACAGCATCCTTTATGCTTTTACCCGTGAGGCAGTAAGTAGCAAAATGGAGGGACTTGCCAGAATGGATGAATATGAACATAAAGCAGCTGGAATGTGGGGCTTCAGAGGCCAGGGCTCATCTTGCAGCATGTTTGTAACCTTGAACATCAGGTACAGTCTTGCTGACTCCCCTGGAATCTAAAGATGACCCCTAGACCTCAGTTCTACTGTGAATTCTTCTTGCCTCATCTCCAGCTCTAGAGAAGGCCTTTTCCTAGCTGTGCTAACCACCCCTTCCTCTGCCCCAGCACCTGGAGCACACCGGCAGGAAGGAGATCCACTTCGGCAAACCCCGACACCTGTGTTTGGATATCAAGCAAGAGCAGGTGGTTCTCCAGAACTGCACTGAGGAAGGCCCTGCCATTCATCAGCAACACTGGGACTTCCAGGAGGTGAGTGATACACTCAGGAAGACTCAGTAGTGCTGCTGGTCAAGAAGAACTTCTGGCTGGCTGCCCTTCCAAGAGATCAGATATCACTACAAGGCCTGTGCCCTATTGTCAAACTTAGTGGCAAGACCTTGGGAGGAGGTAAAGACAACTCAGCCGGGAAGTTGAGCCAGGAGCATCATGAAATGTGCTAATTTGCCCTATCTCTGTGTAGTTCTGATGTTTATTATGGCACAGTGGGACTGGCCCCCTTTTAAAGTTTATTAGCTTGGGAACCAGGGAGATAGCTCAGCGGCACAGCACCTGCCTGGCAAGTGTGAAGTTGTGAGTTCGATTCCTGGTAGCAAAAATAAAATAAAATAAAATAAACTTTATTAGCTTGGGTTACACACAAGATGGTGGAGCACATTACAGAAACAGTCGATTACTTTGGTGGTGCAGCTTTAGATGCAATGCAAAGTCCCTGTGTCCACCAAATTAAGAAAAGACACAGATGTAGATGTATAGATATAGATCTATAGATATGTTCTTTTTAATGTAAATTCACTGTGAGCATTTCAATATCTTAGCAAACTTTTGATTTCTATGTCCCTGAGAGAGAGAGGTTCTAGATCCTTTCCCACAGTTATACATCAATGCAGAGGAATTCAGGGAGGTTTAAGTGCTTACAGAGAGTGAGTGAGTCCCAGACACAGGACTGGGAAAGGAGTTGGACAGTATCCACACTGAGTGTTCATGTATAACTTTTCTCCATCTCAGATTCTTTCTGGGTTGGGTCCAGGCACTACCCAAATAAATGCACATATTTTTAAAAAATTATTTCTTCAACTTTAGCTTGGGAGTGAAGAGTAAAAATAGCGAAACAGAACTCTGGTATTCTTAAAGCAGACCATAGAAGAAGAGAATCACATAATAGGAAACTTAAGCTGAACAAACTCACAATAAAGCTCTTAGGGCTTCAGCGACATGCAAACCCAAGACTCAGGGGTGCACATATCCACAAAGAAGTCTTCAAAGCTCAAGGTGCTTCTTGGGTAATCACAAAAGATCATTCTAAGCCTTCCCAGTGGTAAAGATATGTTTTAGAAACAGTTTATGATAGGTAAAAGAAAAGAGAAGGATACAAAGAGATGGAGGGAGGGGAAAGAGAGAGGAAGTGAAGAAGCTAAAAAGAATTAAGATGTGTTATGTACATGTACCAACTCCCCATGAGAAATGTAATCATTATGTACTGCAAATATGAAGTAATAAAAATGAAGTATTTTTAAAAAGATGAGTAAGATGCACCTAGCAAATTTGAGGTATTAAGAAATAAGACTTTAAAAAGGTATTATCATGCTGGGCATGGTGATGGGCATCTATAATTCAAGCACTTGGGAGGCTGAGGCAGGAGAATCACTATGAGATCAAGGCCAGCCTGGGCTACATAGTGAGTGCAAGGCCGCTATGAACTATATAGTGAGACTCTGTCTGTAAAAAAAGGTATTATCATTCAGGCAGATAAAAGAATGAGATACTGATCATAGTAGTACTATTTATAACAACCCAGAGCTGAAAGCAACCCAAATGTCCATGCATGCATAGATAAAATGTGGATATACATTTATTCTAAGTGTAATGTGCACTATTTAGGCAGGGGTAACTTACCTCCTGGAAATAATTCCATATAATGGAATATTATTCAGTCTTTAAAAGGAAGGAACTTTTGTCACATGTGTCAATATAGTCGAAACTTGAGGATATTATACTACATAGAAATAAGCCAGTCACAAAAAGAAAAACTTATAGGAGGTCTCTAAAGTCATATTCATAGAAACAGGAAATAGGCTGGTGGTTACCAGGGCCAGTTGCAAGAAGAAGGAAATTGTTGTTTAGTGGGTACGACGTTTCAGTTTTGTACAATGTAAAAGTTCCAGAAGTTTGTTTTACAAAAATGTCAGTGTATTTAATACCACTACACATTACACTAAAAATGGTTAAGATGATAAGTTTTGTTGTGTTTTTGCCATAATAAAAGGAAAGAAGAAAAGTCTAAGGTCCTAATTTATGCTATAACATGGATAAATCTTGAAAATATTATGCCAAATGAAAGAAACTGGTTATAAAAAGTCACATATTCTATAACTATTTATATGAAGTGTCCAGAATAGGCAAATCCATAAACACAGAGAATAGGTTAGTGATTTTTTTTTTTTTTTTTTGGTTTTTCTCCAGTACTGGGAACTGAACTCACGACCTTGCGCTTGCCAAGCAGGCGCTTTTGCCGATGAGCTAAATCCCCAGCCCTAGGTTAGTGATCTTTAGTAGCTGGGAAGAGGGAGAAATGGGGAGTGATTGTTAATGAGTAGTGGATTTCTTTTTGCAGTGATGAAAATAGCCCCAAATTAGATCAGCAATAGTAACACAACTTTGTGAATATACTACAAACCATGAGATTGTGTATTTTAAAAGGGCTATATCATTATTTATCTCAAAAATAGACATGTTCAGCTTTGCCGACGAAGGTTGTTTAATTCCATAAAGAAATCCAATTTTTCTGGAAAATGGAATGTTGTGTTCAATATTAAATCTGGTGGATTTTGAGCAGACAATAATTATAGTCTCCTGAACAGCTGGTTTAGCCTTCATTCTTGTACACTGCTATGGATTGTACTCTCCACTGCAACCTGGTGGCTGCAGCTCTAACTTGCAGGGTTAACAGAGATATAGCCCACTAAATCTTTCTTTAAATTTTATTTTAAAGAGAAAAAAACTATAAAAATGATACAGAATTTCAAAACAAGATGATAGGAAATTAACAATGGTTATTATATTGCATATTGTTGTCTTCAAAGTAATTGCTCAGATTACCAGAAACAGGCATGCAAAATTGACCAAACAGTATAAGCACTAACTGTTCCTTTCAACGAACTAATAGAAATTAGTAGTATAATTATCTTAGCTATCTTGTGCATATACACATTTCTTTTTTTAAATGTCCATCAATTGAAGAATGGATAAAAAAGATGTGGTATTTTTATACAATGGAGTATTACTCAGCTATTAAAAAAGTAAACTCGAGGCTTTTGTAGGAAATGGATGGAACTAGAGACCATACTCATAAGTGAAATAAACCAGACTCACATGTGTAAATATCGTACTGTCTCCCTAGTGTAAGAAACTGAAAGAGTAAATAAGATCCAAAAGGTACAATAGATATAGTGAAAGGAAAAAAAACTGCTCAAAAGGAAAGAACAACTGGGATGGGGAAAAGGAGAAAAGAAGGAAGGGACTAAATCTTTTTTGAAAGCAGAAATTTATGAGTACAGTAATAACAATAAATGTTACAAATAAAGCATAAAGACTAAATTTTCTTTCTCCCTGTAATTATCCTAACCAAAACTTCCTAAGAAATGGCAGGTACACAACTGCAATAAAGACTGTTGGGTTAATGATACCCAACATTTGAGTGACAACCGAATTTTGGGGCTATTTAAATTATATTTTGTATTAATCCAAAATACTACTATTCCTTTCCAGGCCCTTTCACGCCACTTCTACTATAGTCTTAACAATCAGCACAAATCTTAAAAACATCCATCTTTGCTGACTTTTGTAGCTGGGCTGACTTTTCCTTCTTTTTTTTTTTCCATTCTTTTATTTTTTCCCCTTGTCTCTTTTCAGAATGGAATGATTGTCCACATTCTTTCTGGGAAATGCATGGAAGCTATGGCTCAGCAGAACAATAAAGAGTTGTTCTTGAGTCAGTGTGATGGAAAAGCCAGCCAGCTGTGGCACTTTGACAAAGTCCACCCTGTAGATGAACGATGAATCTCAACGTCAGAAGAAAAAGAGGATTCTGATTACCGTAGTTCTGCCCCAGGAGAGTTAAAGAGCATTTATACTTCTTGAAGCAGACTCCTGTGTGTGTGCTCCTGGTGTAGGATGGAAGAAAGTTCTCTGAATGTAGGATGTCCCTCCTTCTCAGTTTATTGACTGCTGGCTGCTTTTAAAAAAATTGGTTCACTGCCTCATTGTCTCCATCATCAAAGATAATCATCATATAGCATAGAAGATCTTTAATTTTTTCCACTGAGCAGTTAACAATTGCTTTCATCTCTGACTAGAGAGGGCCTGGACACTGTCTGTCAGCACCTCCAGGACACATCGATCCAATGGATGAATATCATTGTCTGCAAGAAGCCTTAACCTGGATTGTCTCTATGGCCAACCGTGAAGAGAATGCAATAGCCTGACAGCCCAAAAATTTTGGATTCATTTTATTAGGGCAAATTTCATGTTCATTAGAAGAACCAGAGCTGAAGGAAGGGAAGTTACAGAGAACAGCAGAGTATGGTTAGAGACTAGATGAAGGGAGCATTGTCCCAACTCTCCAGCTCAACCTAGCCAGCTGAAGAATCAGTAGACTTGGGACAACAGTCCCATCTTAGTGAGAATTTCCTCAAAACTTTCTACCTCCATTCACCTGACCTCACCCCTCTCTAGCTTGGTTCCCTTGCCATAGATTTCTCTTTAGTCACTGGTTGTTAGAAGGATCCACCAGATTGAGCATTCTCATTAACAAAGGTATTTACAGTTAATAGATTTTCATGATGCTCTGTTACAGGGTTTGCATCGAATCAACAAGAAATAACAACCTTTGCAAGGGAGATACCAGAGTCTGAGCCATTCTTATGAGAGAAAACTGGATCAGATAGGGCCATCTGTGGATCCATATGAACTGTCTAAGTGTGTCTCTAGGTTGAATGTTCACACATTCAAGAAAAATATACCTTCATTAGAGCAGAACCAGAGTTAACTAGAGCTGATTGGCTCTCCTTGTTGTGATCTGGTCCACCTCAATGGCCATAAGAGTTGCTAAATGGTATTGGTTCCGCTATTGAGAAGATAGCAATCATGCCCATATCTCTTTCAGATGGAATTAGTTCTCTACACGGTAGCTCACAAATCTCCCCTTAAAGATGTTGATCTCCTTTGTGCTGTCTCAGAGCACAGTATCTTTCAAAAAAACTAGGTAGAAAGTGTGGGTTTCCAAATAATAACCACCAAATAATGTATTCATTTTCCATCCACCATGTCAATGGCCCATTGCATTTCACTGTCTTTGTAATACACTCTAAACCTGTGCTATCTAATATGGTAGTCACTAACCAACTGGGGCATTATTTAATGGAAACCCAATAAAATTAGAGAAAATGTAAAGCAGTTTCTCAGTTATGCTGGCCCCATCTCAAGACCTCACTAGCTATATGTATGTAATAGTTACTGTATGGTAGAGCACAGTATAGAATATTTCATCATCACAAACACTGTATTGCAACAGCATTAGATTAACCATCCTATCTAGAGAAGTGATTTTAGCCACCATCTTTTTGCTTCAAACCTACCTATATTTAAAACAATTCTCTTAACATCCCAAGGCTGAGATGGAGCTAAAAATTCTCAGATGACAGACTTGTAAAGAGTTTTGGTGGTTGAAGAATAAAAATTAAATAAGGCCTCTATTTTTTAATGAACTTTATTATTGGCATTGTGGGTATTTGAAGTTGCTGGGATAAATTAATATAATTAAATAAAAGGCTGAATTCAATTGTGTAAGTTGTGTTTGATGGTAATTAACAAAGGGACCCAGATGGCTTATTGCTTAATTGGTCGAACAAAGCAAGAATGTGGTGTTTCTTGCTTCCCTAACCATCCCCTTGATTTATTACTTTATTACAGAAATGGCTGTCAACTCAGTCCCTGGCTGGTGCTTACAGACCCTTAATTTAAACACAAATTGAAACAAACTACAAACACCAATCACCATTTAGTGCCTCCCTCTAGGTCTAAAAGAATTTTCTCCTTACAGCATAATCAGTATTCAAATTCCTTTCTTCTCTATGGATTCTGCATTCATTTTAGCCACAGGGATCAATTTAAAAGCAGAGGAACTTGGCAGTTGAGAGATCTGATTCTTGAATTTGATTTCACTTGTCCACCTGAATTTTATGATTAGACTTGTTTTTTAGGATTGAATTTAGCCCTTCGTCTCACCAAGTTCCTCATTAATATTAAGTATCCCACTTGGTGGCTGGAGGGAGGTGTTCAACCAGCAGTCTACAGTCCCATGCTCTTTCACAACAGTATAAGCAGTTATCAGCCCTAGAGGGCTTGAACTTCCCACTACTCAAATAACAAAGTTCAAAATAAAAGCTGCTCAGTGTTCAGTGTTCATAACTTTGCTCAATAAGTTGAACCGAAAATCCACCTTGAAAAACCTGTATGGGCCGAGAGTAAGTCATACATTGTGTCCCACCACAGACACAGAGGGGTGAGGCTTCAGTCTAAGCTCCTCTTGCCCAGACCACATACAGTCCTTATGTCAGTGCGTTAAAACACTTGTCATTGTGCCCTTTTTTTTTGGTACAATGTTGTAACCATGGCTCCAAAGAAAGTTAGTGGTACCAGCAGTAAAGCTAAATAATGGAAAACTGAAAATCATGTTACAGGTAAAAAAGAAATCATTGCAAAATGTGTTAAAGTCCTGGAAAAATGAATTTATAGGTGTAATTTTTGGACCTGAGAACCAATTACTCAGTTTTCCATTATTTCTTATGGGAAAAATATGGTTTGTTCCTGAACTTTTTGGTGTTCGAACACAAATTTGGAATGAATTGAGTTCGATAACCAAGGGATCACTGTGTAGCCAAAGGCAAGCCTGGGCTGTATAGTGAGTTTGAGGCCATCCAAGCCTACATAGAGATACACTTTCTAAAACAATGATAACAATAATAATAATGCTGGACTTGGTGTTGCACACTTGTAATCCCAGCTATTTGGGAAGCTAAGGCAGAAAGACTACAAGTTTAAGACCAGCCTGGGCAAATTAGTGACTTACGAGACATTGTCTCAAAATAAAATATAAAAAAGGGTTAGGAGTGTATCTCTATGGTGAAGTGTCCTAGATTTGATCCTAAATACCAAGAAAGAAAGAAAAAAAGATATAGGGCAGATCTGAAATAACAAGCACATCCCAGGACCAGTGGATGGGAGGAGGGTGACTGACAAGAGTTGGTATACTCCACTTCCTTGCCTCTCCCATAATTATTTCCCAGAGTTCACTGTAATAGTAAGCTCTAGTCACCTACAAGTGATAGCTGCCTTGATAATGCATTTTTAATTGGTCATATTCTCTTCCCTTGACTATGGTTCCAAAGAACATGGCCTGTCCCATAGAAAGTTTTCCTCTGAAAGAGTTATTCTGGTTACCAAATTCCCCTCTTTACATATCAGCAGTCTGACCCTCTGCTCCAGCTTATCCTTGAGTTGAATTTATTCCACCAAACAGCTGAGCCAAAGTATGGGTTTCCAGGGAGCTATGTCTGGGGGAAAGAGATCAAGGAAGGGGCAATGTGCTTAGTCCTTATCCCAAGTTTATCAATAACAAAAGACAACATTACCCCTTGGGGGGAAAGTGAGTGAGATAAGGAGAGAAGCCATAGATGTTCCACTAATTGATGTCCCCTCTTGAAGAAACCTGAGGCCTAGGAAAGTAGGTTCCTCTTGCATCACAAAGTGTTCCTTCTCACATTACAGTTATTACTCAACAACTTGTACATACTGCTATTAGAGACTATACAGGTATACCACAGAAACTAGGAGAGGAGCACAGGATTGCTCTTTATGATCAAATGAAGAGATTCAGATATGAGGTAGGTAGTGAGAAAGTGATCAGATAAACAGTGCTCTGAAGTCCAAAAGAGCAAGGTGACCAATGAAGTTTCCTAGTGAGGGCAGGACTGGGTTTCCAGAGGAATTTTCAGGATTAGGTGTCTAGCCCTCACCATGGAGCTGTTGGCTTTATTTCCATTGACCCAAGCTTTTACCCACAACTTCCTGATTTCTGTGGTATATTGAGAGACGGGAATCAAAGAACAAGGCTGAGCCAATAGTGGGGCTGGACATTTTTCTGCAAAGGCTAGATAGCAAATGTTTGACTTTTCAGTCCCTGTGATCTCTGTCATAACTACTCAGTTCTGCCATGGTTGGGCAAAAAAGGCCATGGACAATAATAAGCATGGCTGGGTGTTATTTACCAAAACAGGTAGCTGGCCAAATTTGACTGACAGCTGTAGTTTGGTACACTCTGGACTAGAGTCTGACTCAGCAGCAGAGGAAGCTGAAGTTTGAAAATAAACAGAAATATTACCAAAGAAATCATGAATGGAAAATCACTGGATTGTATACTTCAAGTGGGTAGATTGTATGATATGTGAATTATATCTCTATAAGATTGTTTTAAAAAGAAATGATGATGAGATTGAAAAATATAAAACTAAAATACTTTTATAAATAACAAGCAAAAACAAAAAGCAGGGAAACAAGGTATAGCATACATTCCTATTATAAGCAGACTCCAGTTCATTTTATGAAGTACGAATTACCAAACAAATAAAAATGCTAAAGCTTTGGCACAGTACCCCCTGATCTTCTTTGGAGGACATACGGATTCCAGATTCTTTTAAGAGAGGTTAAGCAGAACAAGCTTTCTTAATAAGAACATCAACAAATATTAATAAGAAGGGGAGGTTGCTAAGAAGCAAAGAGTAACTCAGCATTTTACCCACGCCAAAGGAACTTAATTATGCTGACAGGTAAAATCTGACACTTTAGTTTTTATCATGGTGAAGACACACACTTCCACACACATAATTCTCTTGCATTTAGGATGTAAGGACAAGAGCTTGTATGGGGCAACAGCAGTAACTTCTGTGTATTTACATTAACCCTGGCCCTTGGCGTTCAGTTTACCCAGTAAACCGAAAACAGTAGGAGCTAAACCAAGGAAAGGGACTTCCAATGGCGGGACTTGAGGCCAGTGCTACACAAGACCAAAAGAAACCTCATTCCTTGTGCTCTGAAACCAACACGGGCCCGTACAGCACGTTTAACAGCCAAACCCAAGGATGCCTCCTTCCTCTTATCCTCCATGTTTGGAACAGCCCACATGTCATGCTCCTTTCAAGTGCAAGTATTGGCATATCCAAGGCTGAATCTGGAGAGAATGTACGCCTCAGGCTTCGCCCTGTCCCCCAACTCATGAACGGCTCCAAAGCAGTCCAAGTCCTATCTTAATTTTACTTACTATTTCTCTACTCCCCATTCTGATGACCCCAGTTGCTATTGTCTAGTAAGCTTTTGTCTTACGTAAGGGACAGGGAGATTTAAAGATCTAGGTACCAAGGGGGTAGTTAGGCCTATTGAGTTTTATTTTAGAGAAATATTATTTTTACCTCCAATATTGGTCAGATGCTTGGTATAGTGGAAGGATTAGAAAGCCCTATTCTTCTTGGTCATCGAGAGGTGATTTCTCTTTCCAGTCAGCTCTTTAAGATCTTTGACCCCTATGCATGGGAGGCCCTGGCACAGAGCTGTAGGTCATAGGTTGGTTTGCTTGGTGGTAGAGCCACCAGCATCTCCTTGAGGTTCTAGCTCTGTGCCCTTGACAGTCACATCCCCTCCCAAAGTTGTCCAGGCAGCAGCCCTCCCAATTGGCCAGGGCTGCAACACCCTCTTCCAATCAGCCAGCCACTTCCTCATGTAGTGTCCTTAGATAGATGGCTCTAGACTCGCAGGTGAGATCCAGATGGAAATGCAGCACACACTTGCCCTACTGAGAACAAGCATCCTTGATGTGCCCGACTCCTGACATGCAGGGTGGCATGGCAGAGGGGCAATAGTTCAAGGTGGTAGAAGACAGCAAAAGCAATAAGAGCAAAAGGGATGAGAACAAGCTTCTTTTACTCCCTTATATTGTGTGCAGGCTACCCGCCCTGGGGTGGGTGTAGCACTCACACCATCTCCATGCTATCCTCTTGCACAGCTCAGAATGTTTACAAAGTGAGGACCCTGGCCCCCTGCTGATTCACTTAGTTAAACTTCTAAACTCCTTCAATTGAGGTAATGAACAACATCCTAGAGCAGTAAGGGCATGTCCTCTACATTCTAGGGTGTAGAACTGCTGAGTTACTTAGTTAAGCTTCTAGATGTCTCAAGTTAACACAAAGTATCAACCATTACAAATGGACACCACAACACAAAAAAACGCATCCTACCTCCATAACCCAAATAAGAAGTAAAGGGGCAGCAAAACTGACTTCTTCTGTAACATCTTTCTTTCTATTGAGAAAGCAAGATTTTCCCAGAAGCCCTCCAGCAGACTTTTACTTCTGTCTAATTGGCCAGAAGTATATCACATGGTCACCTCCAGCAGCAAAGAGAGAGAGAGAGAAAAAAAAGACTAAGAAAGTAGCAAAGGGAGAAAAGGCCAGACACAGTAACACTCAGAATTTGCCTAGGGTTCTGAGAGCCAAGAAGACAGGAGAGGGACTGATGGATGTGAGTAGTTGTGTCTGCATTTTGGAAATGCCTCTTCTCTTGGGCAACACTGGGCTCTGCTTCCGTTTTTATTATTATGAAATATGAACTGCAGGACCCACAGAAAATGACCTATAAAATTCTGTGTTCCCTTTCCTGAATACTGTCCACTTAGCTCCTGTCTTCTGACCAAGTCAGGAATCTTCAGAACTAGCTCAACATACTCAGTTTGGAGTCCA